TTGTCGGGTGCTTACTGTTGGATCATCACTTACTAATTCTAAAATTTGTTCTTCTAGTTCTATTTGATCGTGCGGTCTCGGAGCACCGGCATGATCTCCTCTGTGAGGTCTTAAGTCACCTGATTCACGAGCTCTTTGCAATACATTAACAAAGGCACGAGGGGTTGGTTGCACTCGATTGGGAAACCGATCCGCATAGGTCCGTGATGCCGCGGCAGCATTTTGTAAAGACTCCCCGTAAATAAGAACCATGTCCACAAGTTCAGCATTTTCGTAAACATGTGCCATTTTTTATTTGAGCCACGCAACAGACACGACTATTCACTTACGCGTTACCGACTACCGACTGACACTGACTTTATACAACTGAAGAAAATAATTGTAAAAACATCGTTCCAAATTCTTTCGCTTTTTGTTTCCGATGCGATGAACGGATAAGGCGGATTATATCTGTTGTTGCCAAACACGAGCACATAATATTATTATTGAGACAGGGCGGTACTCAAACTTCCAAAGGGCTATAACTTTGTTACTTTAATTTTACCAGAAAAATGGTAAAGGAAAAAAACATTTCTTTTGACAAGATCTACTTACTGTTAAAATAAATGACTCAACTTCGAAGTCACCCTGTACAAGGACACGGCCAAAATTAAATTTTCTGTGTCGCACATTACGCACCTCGTAGCAACAGTCTTCTCACTAGCTACTTCAGTGATCAACTAAAACATTCAGATTATGATTCCGGCATGTATGTGGTTTCTATTTTATACATATCTAAAGGTGTACATTATGAATTAATAGTCTTAAAAATTCCGGTCCGGAATTCGGAAAGCTCTTAGGTATCACTCTCACAGATAGATCTGAAAAATTCATAATCTGCAAAAATCAGAACGTGTGTACTGCATAATTAAATTATATGCAATTTCGGACGTTCTGAATTATTAATATGAATTCAGTCTCTGAATTCAGAGAAGTATTCCGGCTGGGTGAGGCCGACCTTACTGATGATTAATTAGTGTTCCCTCTGATGGGTATCACGTATCTTGAAAAGAGTAACATTATGCCGATTTTTTTTGACACTATGTAGGTTTTTCTATAAGATGTTGACTTAACAAGTTGTACGTGTTGCCTAAACGTCATGAGGCTTGTTATCAATCTTTGGCTCTCATGTGATGTAAAATCTGCTTCCGAGATGGCATTACTGGAGGTCTAAGCTGTAAGTTGTATGTGTTGATGATAATTACATTGGGTTCTTGTCTCAAATACACTTAATTTAGATTCAAAGCTAGAAATTAGTTGCGCATCCACTTTTTCTTACCCATTCTGGAAATTACATATACAAATTTGCTGAATTTTAAAAATGAGAGAAATAAGAACTATACACTGTCGAATTACAAGTCATGCTAACAGTAATTAAACACAGCGCAAGCGCGGTGATGATTTCCCGTAATTCTCAGTTTTTCGTAATTAATAACTTTAAACATAACCTCTCTTCAGAAAGGACAACATATAAATAACCAGTTGGGCACACCCAATAGATATACTTCATTGGCAGCATATTCAGTAATCATTTTCTCACACAGCAAATATCATTGATTATATAGACATGCAGACCAATACACATAATCATCCAGATGCGATCTTGCCATTCAACCAACTTTCTTCTCAGAGATAAAAACTACAAACAAGGACCATTTGGCCTCACAAAATATATGCAACCAATAATGCGTGTAGTTTAGTTGAGTGATTCCTCCTTAGATGGACGTTCACAATGATCCTAGTGAGCAAACGCGGAATGACTGTTTGCGCCCTAAAAACTACCTAGTTTGCAAGATGACATCTTATATATCTTTTTTTGACGTTTTATATGTGATACCCATGCGGGACCGTCTTTCACTTTTAAGAAACACCATGTATCTGTGCTCACAGGTCGATATCCGTTTGTCCGATTTGGTAAAAATCAACACATGTTTGCAAAATAATATATATCTAAATATAGCTGGTTACGTTCAACCAGGCACCGAAACGGCAAAACTCCTATTAAAACTAAAAATAATCAACATATGCAAGCGAGTTGTTTCGATATCTTAATTGCTTATTTTTAATATATTATATTATTTTTAATATATGAACTTTATTGAAAGATTAAGCATATCGCATGTCGTTAAGCGATCATCGATAGAGGGTCTGCTAGGTTCTCTTGAAACTCTTGTTTTCAAAAAATCAAGAGTTTCAAGTCCTCTTCCCTATATATTGTTCCTGGTTCTGGTCCTGAAGGGTCCTGGTCGTGGTTGGTCCTGGTCCCGGTGGTTCCTGGTCCTCTGCATCCACGCCGTGGGGGGGGGGGGGAAGCAACCGCGGGTTCTCCTAGTCTCCTAGTCAAGGTTCCAGTTAGCGGGTGCCAACTGGGGCCTTGGTCTAGGGTACCTGGTCCATGAGGAATAGTAGCTGCTCGTTCGGGTGGTCCTGAGCTTTCTGAAAGGTCTTCTCCGCTTTTTTCCTCATGTACTCGTGAATGGTATCCCAATGCAGGTCTCTACGCAAGGTTGAGTTCCTTACGTAGGATGGTGCATTGGTGGCGATCCGCAGTAGCTTCATCTCTAGAGCAGCAAGTCGCTTGCGGTAGCTGGGAGCAGCGTACCCCCACAGCGCGGAGGCGTAAGCGAGCTGAGGTCTGGCGATGGCCTTGATCAGCCGTAGCTTGGTCGCTAGCGGCATCCGGCTGTGTCTACCCACTAATGGGTAGAGTTGAGCCATGGCTGCTCTAGTCTTTGCGATGACAGCTTCTATGTGGTCTTTCCGGGTGAGGGACTTGTCAAATACGATCCCCAGATATTTGACTTTGTCGCTCCACTGGATATCTTCGTCGAAGATGGATGCTTCGAGAGGTCTTGCAATCCTTCTTCGTTGGATGAAGATTGCCTGCGGCTTCTGGACGTTGATGCGGATTTTCCATTTCACGCACCAGTCCTGGATGTGGTCCTGTTCATCCTGTAGTCTCCTACGGATGATCTCGGCTTGGCGATGCTTGGCGGCTATAGCAGTGTCGTCTGCATATAGGACAAGCATTGTGTCAGTTGTCTTCGGTACGTCGTGAGTATAGATGTTGTAGAGCAGGGGGGCTAAGGCTGACCCCTGGGGCACGCCTGCTTCCAGCTGTCGTCTTGTTGAGTGGCATGTATCAATCTTCACCGTGAACCATCTTTGTGTTAGATAGCTCTGGATCAGTTGGCACATGTTTGCATCGATTCCGGCGGCTTCCATTTTGGCGATGAGTCCATCGTGCCAAACTCGATCGAAGGCTTGTTCCACGTTTACCAGGACGAGGCCGGTTGCCACCTGGAGATTGAAGCCGCTGGTGATGTTTTCTGTCAGTCGTAGCGCTTGGAGTTCCGTGTTGTGGGAGGATCTGAAGCCGAATTGCTCTGGGGGGAGAAGTTGCAGTTCTTCTGCCTGCTTCTCTAGTCTAACGGCGATAGCCTTTTCGACTACTTTGCCCATCGAGGAAACCAGGCTGATGGGCCGGTAGTTCTAGGGCAACTTCCGGTCCTTGCCTGGCTTGGTGAGCATTATAACCTGGGCGTCCCGCTACCGCCGCGGGAAGTGGTTAAGTCTCAGAGTGGCATTGGCGATGTTGGTGAGCGCAGCAATGCCTTTGGAGGGAAGGTTCTTCAGCATCCTGTTGTTGATGCCGTCCCTTCCCGGTGCCTTTCTGACCTTCAACCTGCGGATGATCAGACGGATTTCCTCTGGACTGGAGGGGTGATCCGTCTCCTAGCCAGGTGGTCGACTCCTCATGATTTCGGCTGCGACTTCCACGGCCTCCTCGTGGTTGTCGTCCTCGTCTTCATGGTGATCGGTTAACTAGATGAGCGTGCGGTTTTATAGGCGATCGCCGGACTGAGGACTGAGTTGTCTGGTGGGGGTACTCTGGGCCTCTTGAATGACGTGACTTTTGCGCTGTGTTTTTCAGAACGGGGTACCACGTTTTATTTAAAGCAAGGCCTTCTTCTTTTCAATTGAAATTATCATTGTGTTTGTAGATTTAAATTGAATCTCTGTACATTCGGGCTGAGTAGTGGGTGGATGTTGATAGGACTTCAGTTTGGTCGAACAGAACATTGTGGCCGTCTTGGAGTGCGTGTTCGGCCACCGCTGGTTTATCAGTTTGTCCCAGTCGACAGTTTCTTTCATGCTCCTTGATGCGTGTTTGGAAGCTAGGTTTAGTGGTGCCTACGTATACTTTACCAGAGGAACACTTTATTCTGAATACGCCGGCAACGCTCAGGGGGTCCCTACAGTCCTTTACTGATGTTAGGAGTTGCTGGATTTTATTTGTCGGCTTGTAGATGTTCTTGACGTAGTGTTTCTGTAGCAACATTCCTATTCTGTTCGTGATGCGTTTAATGCATGGTAGGAAGGAGACTCCCTCGGATGGTTCCTTGTCTCCTGCCGGCGGTCTGCTTTTTTGTCGTGAAATCTGTTCTATTTGTTCCCTGCGATAGCCGTTTGCTTGTAAAACCATGTTAACATGATCCAGTTCGCCCGGCAGGTATTGAGGTTCACAAATTCGATGTGCCCTGACAATCATATTTTTAATGACACCTCTTTTTCGCCGAAAGCTCTGGACCAAATCCAACCCGACCACGGCTAAACAGCCCGAAAAACCTAAATTACATATCGCTATTGTTTGTAAACAACCATGCGAACAGCGAAGAAGCCTAGATACCGACTGGTATGGATTTGAAAAGAGGGTAATTAATTTGAAAAACAAATAAAGTTGGTACCAAAACCGTACTATGTGGAACATCCGCGTTGATATAGTGAGTCTCCAGAGTACAACAAATACCTTACGATCGCTAGCCATGTGCAAATCCCATTTTTGGATTTTGGTTCTGAGAAACGTTATTTTTCCGAGGGCAAATACGTTGGCTTTAGCTTTTGAGACGGTCGAAATATGATGAGACATCATTTAGTCAAAAGGTTATGTTTCTCTCTAGGTGGGTGCTTCCAGAATCTCCAAGATGGCTTCTGGCCTTAGGCCGCACGACAGAAGTGATGTCCATTCTAGAAAGCGCCTGCAAGTTCAACGGGAAGAAACTTCCTCCGAACTTGGACAAGCAGTTGCTTCCAGGAGCAAACGATGAACCAGTGGAAAACGTGAGCGTCCTGGACCTGTTCAAGACCATTCAGATGAGGAAAAGGACTCTGTGCTTGTTTTTGATCTGGTTCAGTGTTTATTTAGTGTACTATGGACTTGTGCTGAATCTGGGAAATATTGGCGGGAACCTTTATGTTAACTCGGTAAGTGAAAGGTGCAGTAATAATGTAAAGTAGGCAAACTGAAAAGCTAGAATTAACTATAGATCGATCGATTAGTATGTAATGTCTAATGTAATTATCAAAATTTGCAAGATTAAAGAAATTTCAAAATTTTTCAAAACTTTCAAAATTTCCAAAATTGTCAGAATTTAAAAAAATGTTCAAAAATATTTTAAAAATAATTTTATTAGGAAATTTTCAAGAAATAAAAGCTAATTTTGAAAAAGTTTTCAAATCTTTCGAAAATTCCAAAATTTCGAATATCTCTCAAATTTTCAAAATTTCCTAAATTTCCTAAATTTCCTAAATTTCCTACATTTCCCAAATTTCCTAAATTTCCTAAATTCCTAAATTCCTAAATTTCCCAAATTTTCTAAATTTCCTAAATTTCCTAAATTTCCTAATTTTCTTAATTTCATAAACTTCCTGAATTTCCTAAATTTCCTAAATTTCCTAAATTTCCTAAATTTCCTGAATTTCCTGAATTTCCTAAATTTCCTAAATTTCCTAAATTTCCTAAATTTCCTAAAATTTCCTAAATTTCCTAAATTTCTCAAATTTCCTAATTTCCTAAATTTCCTATATTTCCTAATTTCCTAAATTTCCTAAATTTCCTAAATTTCCTAAATTTCCTAAATTTCCTAAATTTCCTAAATTCCCTAAATTTCCTAAATTTCCTAAATTTCCTAAATTTCCTAAATTTCCTAAATTTCCTAATTCCTAAATTTCCTAAATTCCTAAATTTCCTAAATTTCCTAAATTTCCTAAATTTCCTAAATTTCCCAAATTTCCTAAATTTCCTAAATTTCCTAAATTTCCTGAATTTCCTAAATTTTTAAAACTTCCTAAATTTCCTAAATTTCCAAAATTTCCAAAATTTCCTAAATTTCCTAAATTTCCTAAATTTCCTAAATTTCCTAAATTTCCTAAATTTCCTAAATTTTCTAAATTTCCTAAATTTCATAAATTTCCTAAATTGTCTAAACTTCCTAAATTTCCTAAATTTTCTAAATTTCCTAAATTTCCTAAATTTCTAAATTTCCTAAATTTCCTAAATTTCATAAATTTCATAAATTGTCTAAACTTCCTAAATCTCCTAAATTTCCTAAGTTTCCTAAATTCCCTAAATTTCCTAAATTTCCTAAATTTCCTAAATTTCCTAAATTTCCTAAATTTCCTAAATTTCCGAAATTTCCTAATTTTAAAAATTCATGAATTACATAAATTTAGTAAATTTACTAGATTTACTAGGTTTACTAGATTTACTAGATTTAGTAAATTTCAGAAGTTTCAGAAATATCCAAAAATTTCCAAGATTTCGCAAAATTTTAAAAATTTCCAAAATTTCCATAATATACAAAATTTCTCAAAATTCCAAGATTTCCGAAATTTCAAAATTTGCAAAATTCAAGATTTTCAAATATTTCTACAATTCAAAATTTATATAATTTTCCAAAATTTGGGAGTTTTAAAATCAGAATTTTTCAAATTTTGAATATTGCCTAAGATTTTGAATTTTTCTCTATTCCAGGTTCTCCAAGGCGCCGTCGAGATCCCAGCAGTAGCCATCAGTATCTTCATTCTCCTGAAGGGCGGTCGTCGTTGGCCCTTGTCCCTCACTATGGTGATCTCAGGGATTGCATGCGCCCTTACAGTGCCCATCTACCTGGCCACCGCTGATATGCAATGGGTGGTCACCTCTTTGACCATGATCAGCAAATTCTGCGTCAGCTCTTCCAATGCCATCATGCCAGTATTCACTGCTGAGTTGTATCCGACCACCATAAGGAATATTGGCGTTGGGGCGGCCAACGTGTCCGCAGGGATTGCGTTGATGTTGGTACCGTACTTGTGGAACTTGGTGAGTTGTTATCCAAAATTATACAGGGCGTCCTTTTCCCAAACAAGTTTGAAATAGCAAAGCTAATACGAGTATGCAGCGAAACAATAGCTAAAACGTAAAAAGGAAATTGAAAAAGTACCCACTACTCATTTCATAAGAAATTTCGTTCTTCACTGTTTGTTCACTGTTTGTTGCCACTTGATTCAGTGTTTATTCTTCTTCTATCTTTTTGAAGAGCGAGAGGTACCATATTTTCCCAGTGGGACAAATTGTCAGGAACTCCAAGAGTGTAAGAAAAGCATGCTAATTGAATGCACCTGTTTGATTAACTTGATCCATTTATTTTCTTGTTATACATGTTCGTAGCTAACTTTCTCAGAGGGCAGTGTCAAGCAACTTGACGCCATTTTTTAACTGCTTATTGTCTAAAAATAGATCAGATCCTACAGAATTACTTGTTTAGTATTTTATTTTGTACTTATTTTTCAGTCCACTCTTCATGCGAGCGTCCCTATGTCAGTCCTAGCAGTTTTCGGGGTTTTCGGAGGTCTATCAGTCCTTTTCCTCCCGGAGACTGGTGGAGTGAGGCTTATAGACACCATCAAGGAAGAAAAAGAGATCACCAAGATCGCTGACATCGAAACTAACGAAAACAAGAAGATCAACAACAATTGCTGTACATAGAATTTGCGTACTTACTGAGTGATAACGTAGGTATACAAGGAACTTGAACAACGGGAACAGTTCTGTGCAAGTGAAAAGTGAAACTTCAAAATTGAAGGTTAATTGAGATGACAATGGACTAATTTCTGTGTATAACTTCTAAGAAGTGTGGACATTTAGTTGCTTAGCATAAACGAGATCGTGGCGTAGTCTCTCTTCGGTTCTGGTCAAATTATCATAACCGAAGACGAATATATGTTTTCATGCCAAAATAAAACTTATTTTCAATCAATTTTTACACATACAAAGTTAAATTGTGGAATATAATTTGGAACAAACTACCTACAACTTGAACAACTTAACCAGAATACTCTAATAAAAAGACTAAATAAATGATATCTGTGCCATCCTTTTGTTTATGTTTTATGCTGAACGTTAATTCAAACTATAATCAGAACAACAGTAGAATAAGTGTAATGAGTACATCGTTTCCCAAGAGTTTGCAACCCACATGCCATGTTGACAAAATAACAGCAACATGGTCATTCTGCCATTCCTCTATAGATGGCGCTTGCACCAAGCAAACTGTCGAGCAGTCTGCGGATTATTGGCACAGTTGATTAAATGTATACTTCGTATGTGCATAACGTATATGTTTGGACTAATATTTAGTCTGTTAGTATTCATGAACAATAAATTAAGGTTAAAGTAAATGAAAATGTCATGTCACCATTTGACTTTGCAAAATTGCTGTGAACTTTTATAGAAGCGCGGCAATGTTTATCTACCTATATTTTTGGCATTTCGGACCTATTTTCAGAGTGCCAAATGTAACGTAATGCAAGTAATCCAAGCGTACAATCTCGTCAGCCGTTCTAGCCTGATATTGTAGTGCTTCTGATGAGAAATTCTGACCAGATGTGTCTACACGAGTATTGTCAAGATACTCGTATATTCAAGACATAGGTCACTGTCGAACAAAATATAAAATTATCCAAAATGTTCAGTCCCAAAATTTCCAAAATTTCCAGTGTCCAAAATTTCCCAAATTTCCAAAATATTCAAGATTTTAAAAATCATCAAAATTTTCAAAATTTTTAAACTTTTCAAAATTTTCAAAATTTTCAAAATTTTCAAAATTTTCAAAATTTTCAAAATTTTCAAAATTTTCAAAATTTTCAAAATTTTCAAAATTTTTGAAATTTTTGAAATTTTTGAAATTCCTAAAATTTCCAATCTTTCAGAAATACCCAAAGTTTCAAAATTTCTAAAATTTACAGTATTTTCAAATTTATGAAATTTATCATATTTCCAAATTTTCAAATTTTCCAGTTATTTAAAAATTTTCATAATTTCCGAAATTTCCTACCAAAATTTCCAGGATTTCTAAAATTTCCAAAGTTTCAGAAATTCCCAAAGTTTTCAAAATTTCTAAAATCTACAGTATTTTCAAAATTTCCGAAATTTCCCAAATTTCCAAAATTTTCAAGTTTCCAGTAATTTAAAAACTTTCATAATTTCCGAAATTTCCTACCAAAATTTCCAAAATTTCCAAGATTTCCAAAATTTTCAAAGTTTTAAAAATATCCGAAATTCCCAAAATTTTCAAAATTCCTAAAATTTCCAGAATTTTCAAAATTTCCGAAATTTCTCAAATTTCCAAAATCTCCAAAATTTCCAGAATTTTAAAATTTTCCAGTATTTTAGAAATTTTCAAAATTCCTGAAATTTCCTACCAAAATTTACAAAATTTACAAAATTTCCACAATCTCCAAAATTTCCAAAATTTCGAAGATTTTCAAAATTTTCAAAACTCCCAAAATATCCGAAGTTTCTCAAATTTGCATAACCTCGAATATTTCCAAAATTTTATAGCTGCATTACTCATTTCTAAAACATGAACAAAAACCAAGAGATCATAGCACCAGCATTAAATCCATAGAGAACAAAGTTCACTTCATATTTATCGATACTTTTTCATTCAAAATGCTTCATCATATATTTTCATATTCTTATTTGCCGCGAATGCATTTTATGTTACATAGAGAATCGGCAGACAATCATTGACGTACCGTACTCAATGTGTACAAACGAGACAGAGAGAGAAATGCATACGTTAGAGCGAAAGCGCGAATTTTAATCCACAGACTCGTCCTTGGTGTCAGGCACGCTTCGTTCGCGCTCTCACTCTAACAAACATGCCCCTCTCTCTCTCTATCTCTCTCATACACATTAAATACACGACTTCAATGATTCTCTGCCGATCGTGTATAAGCTGTATGTTGTCCTTGTAAAGTGTATAAATTGTGTAGATATTAGTTGTCCATGTACCTATACTTACATATTTATTTTGTCATAAATAGTTAAGAAGTTAATGTTAACTGTAGGATGTTCAGTATTTTTATGTATAAGGCATCAAATGTCCAGTTAAAATAATCTTTACAGTACTTAATAATTTTAAATGTGTACACTATAACGAATGTCGAAATTATTTGAATATTGTCAATTAATAAATGTGAAATGTACTGCAAAGTCTAGCTTTGTCAACCTTTACTACCCGAGCGCTGACGCTGACAAGAAACGGTAGAAATCTAGAAATACCCCAGCTGTTCTAAAGGAGAGAAAAATACTAAGAAAATCAAGGAGGCCTTGAAGGCGTCCTACAATTATTGTAGGAACCTCAGCTACAGAAACCTATTTTTTCATTTGACCCCTGGTACAATATTTGCGACTAGACCACAAATTCCACCAATGAATAAGAAATATTTGCGACCTAGTAGCAAATTTGACCAATCGCACACAAGTATCATATCTACTTTGTAAATAATATAACCAAATTAAAAACAAACATTAATAGCTTAGAAAATTTAAAAATGGATATATCGGTTGTTAATTAGGTGCCGATTACAACAATTCTTTAATTAACTTCAATTGTAAACATGTAAATAAAAAACTATTTAATTCAATTACTGTATTTTGCGACCTTTGTAATATCAAAGTGTGTTTAAAAATAGTAAGTTTTTACAATATATGCAGTAAAACTGCGATAATAGCGTGGAAAGTTTATTCCTGATAAAGTGAATTATGATCTCAATTGAATATTGCAGATATCAGCAATAACATGTTACAGTTCTATTCAATGCTCCGGCGCCCTCGGATGTTCAAAATCATATTAAAATTTGATTTAAGGCGGCTCCGACGCAGTGAGTTTCAAGCCATTTAAAAGAGTTCAGCTGCTTCGAAACTGACACTCAATTTTTAAATATTTTTGAATGAAATTCATACAGTATGTTCAGAAGATAATTGCCGAGGGTACTATAGGAGCACTTTTTGAAATTTCGTTTTTGCACAAGTTTTATGATGGATTCGTTTTGGGGCGAAATTCGTCTACTGTTTCGTCCTGCCAGTCCAAGCGACGCGACGGTGCGTGCCGACTAAGAAAAAATGTATTCAAAAAAATTGATACCTTTAGTAAAATAAATTCAAGAACTCAAATTCAAATTCGTTTATTCATGTCAGTAAACACAATTAATTATGTTTACAAGGGTCATGTGGTACATGGTAACAACTGAACGAGGGTCATAAAAATATCTTATGCCGTCAAAATAAGAGGAAATAGATAGGTAGTTTTTTCAAAGCAATAAACAGTTAGGCTTATACCTGGATTAAGTACATTTCTTGTCTACTGTAACAGGTAGATGGAGTCGCGATGCTGCCAGAAATGGATGTGTGCCATCAATAAATAAACCACAAGATTGAACTGCGGTGTCCAATGATTTTTGCGTTGCCTTTTCTTATTGCCTTACTACAAAACTCTGTTGGGTATATGATGGAGTTTACTAGAACTTTACAGCTTGTTGTCTGCTTTCTTCTACAAACTTCACCAAATCGAGACGCTGTCAACCTTATCATCCGATAAAGGCGCGACAAAGTACAGTCCTGTGATTTGGTGACTTGTTCGATCTGCAAAATCTCGTCATCACTTTTTTTAAAGTTTGGCAAACGGATCTGCAACAGCGAAAGGAATGCGACCGAAAATATTCGATATTGCCAAATTTAACTACAAAAAAGCAATAATAATAATAAAAGTAATTTCAATGATTTGAAACTCGATTTTTCACAATTCCAAAAAATAATAATTCAAAATACTGAGTATTTTAATGGGTTGTTAGCTCTATTTGTATTTAATAACTATTTTTTACTACTGAATCGTATCATAAGTAAACATTTTTCCAAAGATCTTATCGACATCGGTTGAGCTGGCAACAACCACCCGAAAGGTATATTGGACACCGCCTAAACAAATCTGATTGGCGGATATCCTCACATGTTTTGTCGCCATGAGAAAATTCGGCTCCCTATTGGGTAGCGTCCCAGACAATTTTTTGCTCCTTTCTTAGAATATCCATACTATTGAAAAGTCCAGTGGCGTAGGTTTTATCTCCGTTGATTGTCGTGTATAAGTTTTACAACTATTATTGTTAACTATTAATTGTTCTATTAAGTTTGTATGTTTAGTGCTGTGTGTTTCTGAATAGTTTAGTGTTTTGTTATTTGTTATTGTTATTCGTTTTAGTATTATTTTTTAAAATGAACCAATTTACTCGCGGAAAGACGCTTCATAGCCAAACAAGAGAAGTGATTGCGAATGTTTATAGGTTAGTAATAATAATATGCAATAATTGTAGTTTTTGACTACTGAGTCTGAATATAAATAAAAAACAAGGAAATGCTAAGCTAACATTCTGATGATTATTTATAGGGTTTGCGATGAGGAAGCGGCAAGCAATTCCCTCAAGTTGCCGCTTAAACGTAAGCTTGATAGGGTGTCCCTTTATACCGGAGTCGGACTATCTTCTGTTAGGAAAATTCATAACGAAGATAAAGAAAGACTAGAAAATAACCCGAATAAAATGTTATCCAGTCCCGGAAAAAAAAGACCGCGTCAGTCTCTTGTTGAGAAAGATGAAAATTTTGATTTTCAGATTATTAGACATTTGATAAACAGATTTTATCTTGAATATAAAGTTGTCCCGACAACTAGGAAGTTATTACAAAAGTTGCGAGAAGACTCAAATTTCCCCTATTCTAGGGAAACACTCAGGAGTTTATTAAAATCAAATGGTTTTTTTTGGCGCAAATGTCAAAATAAAAGAAAAGTTTTGATGGAGAGGCCTAATATATTGCAATGGAGGTACAAATACATCCGTGAAATACGTAGATATCGTGAAGAAGGGCGCAACATTGTTTATTTGGACGAAACCTGGGTGGACAATGACTTGACTTTCAAAAAATGCTGGCAGAGCGAAACTGTTTCTGGTGTAATAAGCAGTATAGGTTCTACAGATAAGCAAAAATGCTATATATATGTTAAATTTAACTCTGATTTGTAACATATTATATAATCGTCTTGTATATTTTAGGTCGACTCATTATAGTGCATGCAGGTTCAGAAAATGGATTTGTTGACAGTGCCTGTTTGATATTTAAGGCGGGATTAGCTACAGGCGATTACCACGGTCAGATGAATCGGGAAAGTTTCACACGCTGGCTCACAGAAAAACTCCTCCCGAATATACCTGCCAATTCGGTTATAGTATTTGACAATGCTCCATATCATTCCGTCCAGGAAGATAAAACCCCGACAAAATCATCTTCGAAAAAAGATATAATGGCCTGGTTGACAAAGAAAGGTACTTATGACTCAAAACATGCATGTACATATCAAACTATACAATAAAATATTTTATAGGCATAAATCATGAGGCAACTGCCAGAAAATTTGACTTGTTCGATCTGGTCTTACTTCATAAGCCCTGACAACCAAAAAATTATGTAGTTGATCGGATCATAAGATCACATGGACATACTCCTCTAAGAACACCTCCTTATTTATGCGAGCTAAACCCAATAGAATTAGCTTGGGCAAAGCTTAAATTTCATATAAGAAGCCGCAATACCACTGGAAACTTCAGTTTAACCGCACTGAAAGAAGTTACTCAGGAAGCGATGTCCTTAATATCCATTAATGATTGGCAGAAATTTTGTCAACATGCAAGGGACATTGAAGATAAATTTTGGGAAAATGATCAATTTATGGAGAAAATGGAACCAGTTATAATAACTATAGGTCAAGATGACGACAGCGAAACTGATGACGACAGTGACGATGATGATAATGATGAAGTTGACGAACACTAATGCTAATTCAATAGGTGAAATGTAATTTTGAAATGCTGTATAATGTAAGTATTATTTATTACAGAGGTTATAAGTTAAACGGATATGAAATATGTTTAAAGTTCTTTGTTTCTATTTAAGCGACACCGATGCTCTAGAAATATCCACATCAACAGTCCAAAATTGCAACAATAGGAATCCAGAAATATGCGGATTATAAAATAAAAATTAATTCTGGTCATGTTTCGGCTTGTGGCACTTTTTAAAGTAAATGAGCATATTATAAGATCACGGATGTATAATATATACATATATAAAAAAGCGAAAGAATTTGGAACGATGTTTTTACAATTATTTTATTCAGTTGTATACATACAGTCAGTGTCAGTCGGTAACGCGTGTGAATAGTGGTGTCTGTTGCGTGGCTCAAACGAAATAAAAAATGGCACATGTTTATGCGGATCGGTTTCCCAATCGAGTGCAACCAACCCCTCGTGCCTTTGTTAATGTAGTACAACGGGCTCGTGAATCAGGTGACTTAAGACCTCACAGGGGACCTCACGATCAAATACAGGTCCGCACTGAAATACTTGTCGGGAGGATACTTTATAAAACAAGGTAAAATTTTTTTTTTAATTTTTTTTTATTTTTACACACATATTTTGGCTTATCTTCCTTCTACAATCATTATCTGAAAATTAATGACTCAACTTCAAAGTCACCCTGTATATATATATATATATTCTCAAGGTAAAAAACCACGTTAAGTATCTATTTGTATTTGAAAAATATATTTTATTTACGGCTTTGACAAAAACGCTAGCTTCATTTTGGTTTTAAATCGCGCAGATATCATGATTTTTTGAATTGTGGCAATTTTGGGAAGTGAGTAGACATTTTTCCGTTTGTTGAAGTGTAGAAACAAACTCAAGTATTTTTTTACATGGTGTAGATTGTAGAGAACAGCTATTTTTGAGTTTACCCGAGACTTTATTTATTATTATGGACAATGCTCCATATCATTGTGGGCTTATTGAGATACTCCCCAAATTTAAAGTGAAACATAAACGTATAGTTTACTAAATTTAAACCAATTATGAAATAATCCCAAAGTTTTATAAAATCCCGCACGCCGTTGGCATTTTATGAATGAAACCAGCCATGTTTTGCTTTCCCCTCACCGATACCCCGATGTTGCAGATCCGTTTGCCAAACTATAAGTTTCCCTAAAAATTTTCGCTTAGCAACCTCCAAATCAATGTAATTAATGACAGGTTTTTGACTGAATGCGCCATAAAACTATTCATTTTCTCTGGAATTGCTATTCGAATTGTTACAGTATATTCAGATAAGAGATAGACCGGATGTAAACAAAAGGTTCGGGTGATTTTCACGCTAACGCCGCCGTCTTGACGTAAAACAGGAGCCCTCATTGGTCAATTCGCAATTAACTGCCTATGCCGAGCGGCAGAGCAGTCGTATCAAGGCAGAGTCACATTCAGGTTCAGACGTGTTACGTATGTCGTGTGCATCATTGCAATTTGATATTTCTTTGGACGTTTTCGTTTGTTATCTTATTAAGTTGTTGAGTTTGTCGTTGTTATTGTTATACCTTGTTATTGATTGTTATTGTTATCAACTGCTTGCGCAAAATGCCCAGTAGTACAGATACTGCCGATGAAGTTGTAAACTCCTGTAGTCCACCTAGGAAACGCTCTAAAAAAAGACACCTGAGTGCAGAAATGAAAGAGGTCATTTTGAATATATATAAGATCGAGCGCGAGGAGAACGAGGCATCAACCATCAAAGAAATTGTTGTGAAGGTTTCTCACAAAGTTGGGGTGTGTCGCGCATCAGTGTTTAATGTGTTAAGACAATACAAAAAAATCACACCTTTTCTGAGCCAATGACCAGTAAACATCGCAAAAGTATTGTTAAATCATTGGATGAAGCTGATAAGCATGCGATTAGGAGGAAAGTGCATGCATTCTTCTTTAGGAATGAGATACCTACTATAGATAAAGTACTGCAGGAGGTAAATGGAGATACAACGTTGCCAAATTTCAAACGATCAACTTTCCATACGTTACTGAAGCATTTAAATTTCAAATGGAAAAAACGGGGTCGTAATAGTTTACTACTGGATAGAGAATAAATTGTGCTATGGAGGAGGGATTATTTAACAAAAATTGGGAAATATAGAAATCAAAACAGGAAGATTTATTACCTTGATGAAACGTGGGCAAACGCAGGACACACTACAAGTAAAGTATGGGTTGATGATTCTGTAACTTCATCCAGGAGGGCCTTTCTAGATGGACTATCCACCGGATTAAAAAATCCAGCAGGTAAATACGAGTAATAGACAACAATCGGATGTTTTTCAAACCTTGGGAACAAGGTTCTAAACGTTAATTCCAGGGGGCAGATAAAACATATTACAAGTAACAAAACTTTTATAACTTTCGATAAAATGCGTGGATGTTTTATTGTCATTTTCATTTGTTAGAACTTTTTTAAGCCATGTTTTTATGTGTTTTCGATATTTCAATAATTTTTTAATATAATCTTAAAATATGTCGAATATTATAAACTTAAAAAAAGTTACTAAGTTTTATATTGTGTACCGTTCCTAATATTTCTAATCATTTTAATTCATACTTTAAGCTTTATAAATTCATTTTTTAAAGGTTTATAACTTTAAATTAAATTGTGAAGCGCTGAGTAATCATACGACGTTCAATATTCTTTCTTTCAATATGACTAAATAATCCCAATTATAGCAATCTGATACTCATGTCTCAATGTTTTTTCACTGAATGTGATGAAAACATTTGAAAAAGGTTCGCTTATTGAAATAAACCTACACCAGTTAGTACTTCGATTTCCAGGTAAAGGGAAAAGGCTCATTATCTGCCATATTGGCAGTGAGGATGGATTTGTTGTTGACGGTCTGTGGTGCTTTGAGTCTAAGAAAACTGGAGATTACCACGAGGAAATGAATGCCGAATCGTTTGAACAGTAGTTTTCAAAAAATTTACCGAACATAGAGGAAAACGCAGTAATTGTGTTGGATAATGCGCCTTATCATTCTCGAAGAATGGAGAAGGTCCCAACAACGGCTTCAAGGAAAGTTGATGTTCAAAATTGGCTCCGCTCGAAAAATATCAACTTTGAAGAAGCAATGCTGAAAGTACAATTATTAAGAATTGTCAAGGATCACAAGGCGGAATATCAAAAATACGCCATTGACAAAATGGCAGCAAGTCAAAATAAAACTGTGCTCCGTTTACCTCCATACCATTGCGAGCTCAATCCCATTGAGCTCATATGGGCAGAGGTTAAAAATTATATAGCTAAGCACAATACAACTTTTAAATTTTGTGACCTCAAATGACTTTTCAAAGAAGCACTAGAATTAATAACAGCGCAAAAATGCGAAAACTGTATTAAGCACGTGAAAGACAAAGTTGAAAAGAGAATGTGGGAACTGGACAATATTTTAGAGGAACAAGTCGAGCCATTCATTATTGACGTTGGTGCTTCAGGCAGTAGCGATGATGAAAGCTCATCAAGCTCATCTTTCCAATAAAAGATGTCGTTCATCAAATTCGGTAAGTTATAAGTAATTATAAAGCTACTGTATTTTTTAATTAATTATTGACATTTTTGAACCCATTTTGGCAAAACCTATTCAAGAATCTACTTTCTGACAATGTTCAACCATGCACATTTTTTACGTTTTGAACGTTTTAATTTGGTTACATATTTACCTAGAAATCAAAAAATATACTATCAATCTTCTAAAAGCAATTTTAAGAGATATACGATTATTTTTAATTTAGGCTAATTTAAACGCCATTTTGAGATTATATTCGACTGTATTTCACCAAACATCAGGCGGCATCCGAAGCTGGAAATCGAAGCGAAAATTTTGAAACCCTTATGTATATTTACATCATTATATATTTCTTACCCCACCCCCACATGATCCTATATCCATCACCAATCGTATACACATCGAATTGTGCTAATTTACTACAAAGTTACGCAAAGCAGCATCTACTATCTAAAATATGTACTGCGAGACTCTTAATACGTCCCTGCCGAATGTTACAGCGTTCGATGATCACGTGGTCTTGTTTATGTCCGGTCTATCTCTTATCTGAATATACTGTAGTTATTTTTATATCAGCTTCTTTGGTCTGATTTTATTTTCAAGATTCTTGCGTTTGAGTCTTTGTTCCATCTTAACGATAAGCGAGGTTGGATTAAGCTCAGAACGCAAATGTATTTCGACCACTTAGGCCGCTGGGTATTGTGGCTCACTACAGCTGCAGCACATCTTCCATGGTATGACCTCTTCTTGCGATAATTTATTCGCTAACTCCAATGTATTTTGCGATTATAGAGTTGAACTGCTCCACACTATTGTTAGCCTCATCATGAATTAAACTCACTGCATTCGTAATTAAAATGGTCGCATATGAGCCTTTATCGTCCATTATCAGCCTTGATAAAAAAGGCACTCAAGAACAATCACACCAACAAGAGTACTGCACAACAATTCAACAACACAATATCGACGAACAGTAACAAGGGGAGGAAGATACTAAATGATCACTTGCTCACCAAAATAGCAAACGATTTACAGGCTAGATCGCAA